TTAGTGCTAGGGAAATGCAAATCAAAACCACAGTGAGATACCATTTCACATCCCTTAGGATGGCTACTATTTTTAAAAAATGGAAACTAATAAATGTTGGTGAGGATGTGAAAAAGTTGGACCCCTTGTACTTTGCTGGTAGGAATGTAAAATGGTGCGGCTGCTGCGGAAAATTTGGCAGTTCTTGGGGTGATGGTCACCCAACATTGTGAACTTACTTAATGCCACTGAATTGTACACTTAAAAATGGTTAAAATCGTAATTTTTATGTTACTTATATTTTGCCACAGCAAAAAAAAAACCAACAGTGACAACAAAAAAATCAAGTAATAAAGCAAACAACAAAGAAGAGATAGACAATTGTTTTAAATCCAACTTTCCTAAAATAACCTATGTTAACATTTGTAGTTATTCTAATACCTTATTCTGTATTTTTAACTTTTTTTGTTGTGAGACATTTCAGAAGTTGTATCTATCAAAAAGTATAGATAATGATATAAACAACACCCATAAACATTGGGTTTGTTTAACATGAGCTACGACCCAAGTGTGAACAGGGACCCTCTTGCCTGCAGAGCTAGCCAGCCTGTGTGGTATTCACACTTGCAACTGTGGCCTGATAGAAGATAATCTAACCTCGCCAATTTAGGCATAAAAATGATGACTAAATGAAACTAGAAACTAGGAAGCCACAGGTCATATCATTAAATGTGTCTATGATAAGCATCATTGTTCTCCGCTCATGTTATTTGGTAGTATTCTTTCTCTTATTTTGGTCTAATCCTAAGTGTCATTGTAATCACTTCTAGGAGCCTTTTGTCTAAGATCAGGTGTCTAAGTGTTATTGTAAATGGTTTCTTTTTATTCTATTTCAAATGTTTCTGGATATAACATTGAGAGAGAATATTGGTAATATTTGCTCTTATGTATCTCTGGGATATGTTTTTAAAGAAAAGATGTAATGACATCAAATTGAATAGCCTGGTATAAATTAAGTTCAGAGAGTCAAGGGGCACTTTGTTCTAGTTTGAATTCTGTCATTACCTTTCTTGTAACCTTAGACTAAAACAGCAACATTAAAGCAGAAATAGCAGTTGACTCTTTTGCAGATTTTATAGTAAGGCAAATTTAATATAATGAGAATATCCAGTAAAATGACCAAAATGCAATTATTATTGGTCTCTTTTTTGCTACCTCAATTGTCAATATGTATTATTTCTTTAACAATTATAAAGAATATCTGAATTCTAACTTTGTTCCACTATTCACTAGTTGTGTGACAGTTAACTTTTCTCAGCTTCTATTTCCTCATCTGTGAGATAGACATAATGATAGGCCCTGCTTCACAGTTTTATGATAGTTAAGTGAATATGGAAAAAAGTCCTTATAACAATGCTTGCATATAGTGAGTGCCTGATAAATATAAGCTACTTTTGTTATTGTTGCTGTTGTGATGATGATGATGAAGATGATATACCTACTACATATTCAACTCTGGGATGAATATTATGAGAGCTAATCATACCTTATACTTCCTTATCTCAAGGAATTTATTTGGTGATAATACTTATGCAGCCTTTCATGAATGGGAGGCGCTGAAATGAGCCTTGAAAGATGGGATTTGCAAAGGCTGGGGGGAAACCTACTTTTGTTTTTTCCTCTTTTGCCTACCATGTGTTAGGCATTATACCATATACTCCACAGCCTTTCTCTGCATTCCTCATGACAACACTATAGGTCATAGAGCTAGTACTTGCTGAATCAGGGACTTAAACTCTTAACCAAATCCAAAGCTTTTCTTATTTCCATGCTATGCTGCTTGTTTAATAATTATAGCTTGAACTATTCTGTGTCTTGGCCAGTTAGGTGCTTCTCAATATCCCATTAGCTTTTTGTGGATAGTTTTTTGATTTTTGATACAGGGTATCACTCTGTGGTCCAGGCTACAGTGCAGTGGTGTCATTATAGCTCACTGCAGCCTCCAACTCCTGGCCTCAAGCAATCCTCCTGCCTCAGCCTCCCAAAGGGCTAGGATTAGAGGCATGAGCTGCCATGTGTGGCCAGTTTTTTCATGTTTACTGATTTTTTTCTCTTAACTTTCTTGTCTGTGTATATGCTGAATTGTATGTTTGCTTTTTAATTTAAATTTTTCTGATTTCTGTTCATGATTTAACTTAGGTGTAATGTCTTTGCTGCGGCCTCTTCTTCTGGATGTGGTCCCAACAATTCAACAGACTGCTGCTTTGGCTCTTGGGAGACTGGCCAATTATAATGATGACCTAGCAGAAGCAGTTGTGAAGGGTGACATTCTTCCACAACTTGTTTATTCATTGGCAGAACAGAATGTAAGAATTAAATAAGTTATGTGTTTTTGTTTTAGATTTTGAAAAATTTGATAGTTTGGGTACAGTTACAAGGCATTAGAATTATTAATGTGTTAATAACAATCTTCAATTCTCTGAACTGCACATAATAATATCTCTAGGGTATTTTGCTTTGGGGCTGATATCCAGCATTTGTCCATTATTGTAAATACAAGGAGAAAATAAATTTAAAGGTTTTTTTGAGGGGGGGAATTATACGTAAAGCGGTATTCTGTATACGGGAGTTTTAAGCAAAGCTATTGGATCTGTCTTAGGGAGGCATGTAGGGCCCTAGGCAAGTAGCTGCTTTCAGCAATCCTTATATGTAGGTGAAATCTGCTTCATGGAAACAGCTAGAGACAACCTTGAAGCAAAGGGTAGAGAAGCAACCAAATGGAGGGGAGAATGTGTGCAATAGATGTTTGATAAAGCATTTCTACCAAGTATACAGACATGCCACCTCTTTTAAGCATCGTCTAAAAGTGCCCCAATTTTTTCCCCTCCTATCTAGTGCTGCTCTCTATTTCATACAGGGCTGCCTATTCAATTTCCACAATAGTTAAGGACCTGCTGTAGGCAGAATCTTGGACTGTTCATTCCATCCTATTAGTTTATCATAACCTAGAGATAGATCTTTCTTGATATATCTTTAAGATTAAATTCCTGTTTGGGTAACAAAAAGACAAACAACCCAATTGAAAAATGGGCAAAGGGTCTGCGGC